GTGTGTGTGTGTGTGTGTGTGTGTGTGTGTGTGTGTGTGTGTGTATGTTTCCCTCCAAAGGCGAAGTTTAAATGAAATAATTTTTTTTTTCAACCATTTAATCCACTGGCTTTTGTATTACCATAGTGATTACGTCTTTAGGGGAAACACACACACAGACACACACTCTCCCACACACACTAATCCTAGCTGTGGGGGTAATAGATTTTAAACACATTACCCCAGCAGGGATACCCCCTAAAACACCATGCTGTCCCCTGAACCTGTCCCCCTGTCCTCAACTTCTCTCCATCAGCATAAAATATAGAAAGACACACACACACACACTTTCACAGCTTTCCCCAGCATAAATATAAATAGGTCAATACAGGGGAGATAAATACAAAAATGTGAAGAGTGGAGAGTCTCATTCTGTGAAATCAAACAAAGCTATTTCCAAATGGCTAACGTGGACGGCGACTCGCTTCCTTACTGCTTTATTTTTTTTTCAGATAGAAGAAGTCTCATTATGCAGACGTCTGCTGCAGAGCACAATTTGAAAAGCAATCGCTCTTTATGAAAGACAGGAAAACGAAGGCAGAGTAATATGACCCTGTGAGCTGGGCTCAGCCACAGCTCAGAGACAAGCAGCATGAACTTTACCATCAGCTGTGTTTAATCGATTTGTTATTTACTTTTAAACCTGTTCAATCAAAGAAGTCATTCACCCAATTAGCGCTTATGTATTGTCATTTTTCATATTTCCGCTCTACACGTTTAGTGGATTCATCGGGGGAAGTACTGCAAAGCTTCTGAAGACTGTTTGCTTTGTATAGCATCAGATGTGTTACTATCCTGGGTTTGGATGTCCTAAATTTATAACAAACTGGAAGGACAGAGTTCGGAAGACTTCACACAGATTTGAATGATGTACTGTAGACACTAGTGAGTCACACTTCATCAAAATGTCGGAGCTTTTGGGAAATTTACTGTAGAACAGAGACTAAAGGTCCCTGTCTGCTCTAACTCTATGAATAAGAAATGTTAAATCTCACCCCTTTTTATTAACTTAACAGTAGATTTGCAAATCATTCAGTGCTGAGGTACCATGTTTTTTTTATGTTCTGTATGCAAAAGGTTTCTTCGTGCTTTCATTATATTTCAGATGGCTAATAATAGAGTAATGTTACGTTGAGATATAGCAGTGGCTGAATGAAGAGGACCATTCATCTGAAATAAGAAACGTGTTTTATCCTCGTGATAAGCTCTTCATGAGTTCTTGATGTTTATTATCTATTTTATTTTCCAAAATACGAATTTGTACCTCACAACTGTTCAGTGTGCTCTGTTTTATTTCCCATTAAGGACATTTCTGGCTTTCAAAGGCTATTTTCATATTAAAGGGTACTGTGAACTCATTGCTCTTGAAAGCATACACAGTAACGAGTCAAATGGAACTAGTTTTATTTAAAACATCCAAAATAACAATTTACAAATTTGCTCCGGTGGGCTACAACATCATAGCCCCCTTTATCACCCTTAATTCCTCCAGTAAACTTCCCAACCATACGTTTTGTAAAACACGTGAACAGATTTTATGTATTTATCAGAAAATTCATAATAAGAATTTAAGTAGAAGAGATGAGCCTGCTCATAGTCATTCATAGGCAGTCAGTTGACCCTCCTGGAGCCTACAGTGCACCCCTGACCCTACTGTTTTTGTAATAAGGGATCAATTTGTTGATCTACTGTGGCGGATTCATAAGACTTTACTGGGAATGCTCACTGTCCAGTCCTGTACAGCATTTGCAGAGACATCTCACACACGTACAGTTTCAGATCTTCCTCAAAGCAAGAAAGAGTCAGCTGACCTCCACTGGAGAAAGTCAGCTCTCTGACTCTTTTCTTACATTCTGTGAATACCTTATAAGGTTGTCTAAATGTGTAAATGCATTTCTCCTCCTCCTCTCTTTATTATTATTTCCTATAACCTCTCAAGGAATAAAAGAACGTTTTTTTCTAGAATGGTTTATAGAAGCCTACTGCGCTACTTCCTCCTGACCAAAGGTATCTGCAGAGAAGACGCTCCCTCGCTCCCCCTCCCTCCCTCTTCCTCAGATAAGAGTAAATGAAATGGTTCCTTTCACCCTTCCTATCTGGGCCAGGGCATGAAATACGCCTTGCTTTGTAAAGAGATGGAGAGGAATGACTTGTGACCTACAAAAACCTCCCGATAACTATTTATTCACTTATCTGTGTATTTACTGTTGGTATTAGGCGTTCAGACTCTCACCATTCTTGGGGTAGGCTGTGTGGATTATGTGTTTGAAATTTATTTTTCTAAGCCCATAAATACTGATAGGGAGAAACGCAAATCTATAAAAAGCATTTGTTTATCGGCCTCAGTAGCGTAATTCTCTGAATACGCTGTACAAGTTCTCATTTCAGAGGGTTATGTGCCATGTTTAGGCATTAGGCTGGAGAGGTGAACGGTGCTAGCCCAGAGCAAGGCTGAGTAAGAGAACTCAGACGTTTCTCCTAATTTTAGAAGAAATGATTTCCTTTCTTGTCCTTAAAACTAATTACAGAAGAAACCCGGGCTGATGTTCCCACAGCTGGGTGGGTTTACTGACAGATGCCAGTAATTCATCCCTCTGACCAAGCAAATTAACCACTTGCTCACAGAAATTCAATCAGCAGCTCAGGAGACTTTGTTGCAGAATGAAGATTTTGCCAAATTACTAGCCTTGGCTTTTAAATATCTTTCTACTGAACCTCTGAAGTCTCCAGAGGTGGTGGTAGTGTGGGGCTGTTGGCAGAGACAGCAGCTTCATTTTCACCCTGCCAGGGGACCAGCGGTCATTATGCATCCCTCTTGTATTTTATTTATTTACCCTTTATAGGAGCTGCCTTAAGAACCTAGCGCCACCTTAAACGTTTGATTGATTCACTGTTTCCGGGAGGGGGGAAATACAGAGATAAAGCAGAATATATTCGCGCTCCCCCATCCAGAAAATAAGGTCCATTAGGCTCTCTGTCTCTCTCTTCCAGCCACATTCCTCAGTGTCTCTCTCACTCTTTCCCTCTGTCCACATAGCTCTCTCTCTCATCTCTCATCTGGGCCGTCACGGCCTGACGACTCAAAAATAAAGCAAAAGAGAAATCGCGACAAAACGCCACCGGTCCCCTCTCTCTTTTCTCCGCTCCCTGTCTTAGAGGGGGAAGAAAGGAAGGAAAAAACACAACTAGAAATTACTTTAGGTCGAAAACCTGTTTGGAAAGTTGCCTGCGAGAATACAGATGAAGCAAATTTCCTTGAGCAAACAGTGGATAGATCGGTGAGATGTGCCAGGCGGGCGTTTTGGACGTATAGTGCTATTTTGTATTTTCTTTACGTGAACAGAGGGATAATTAATATTTGGTGGAAGAATCGAGGCTCAAAGAAACTCAAAGAGGGAAAAGTCCCCCAAAACTAAATAATTTAAAGTAAACTTCATATTTGCAGCGGACACTGATTATGACGATGGCGTCTGAGTCGATCTGTTGGATTAAGATTAA